AATTCTCAATGAAAATAAAATTTTATTTTTTAAAAAAATTTTTAAAATTTTTACTATATAAACAATTTTATTTTTTTTTTCTTATAATTCTTATTTTCAATTATTATATTATTATATATGAGTGTCGCCAAAAGAAAACCCGACAATTTAAATATAGTCTATATTTAAATTGTCGGGTTTTCTTTTGATATATTATAAAATATTTCAAATATAACAATTTTAACTTTAGTACGTAACCAAATTTCCCAGCACGGTTTAAGGAATAATAAAAATTTTAGCATTTAATGTTGTTAGGGTCAGATATGATCATCGGCATGTGAAAGTAGGTTTTTTTCATGGTAAGTGTACTAAATCTCGTGATTAGTTGGTACTGCAACACCCTAAAACGAATCGACTCTGAAAACTTGATCACGAGATATCATTAGTGAATCATACTGTACCGGGTTCTAGTGATCGGGTCGAATGGTACGTATGTACGAACGTACAGTACGTACGTACATACGTAAGTACGTATCGTATGTAACAGATAATCGTAATACTTATCTGCGCTATAAAATGCGTACATCCATTACCTTATACGTATAAGTGAAATAATTATACTATATATATTTAGCAATAATTAACAATTATACGCAGAGAAAATTATTTGACTCAGCGACCTGGCTTTTTACTTGAATTTTTATAATAACGATACGTAGTAATAAAATTTTTTTTTCAGTTTACAAAATAGACCCGATCTTGTTAAGAGAACCAATAGATTCACATTACATGGCCTTATCATTATAATATTTTAAATATTCTATCTATATATAACTAAATATATATATATATATTTATAGTAAAATTAATAAGTAAATAGCCTATGATTCTCTAAGAAAAAACCAATGTACAAAAGGGCATTAACAAAAAAACCTCCCCGTTGTACTATAAAAATACAGGTTTAAGGTTAAATACTGTATTAGCGTTAACGGTTAGTTTAAAAAATTTTAAACGTAACGAAAATTTTATTTAATACGTATGTAAATTGCACTATCGCTATTAGTAATCACTGAGCTACAGAAATCTTTTTTTTTTATTTATATGTAATATAAGTATATCTATATACAGTATCAAATATCAAATAACAAATAATATAATACGTAATACGTATAATAGTACGTTGAGGTATAGGGGTTATTACGTGATCGGTCCCTAACCTCCGAATTTTTTATACATATTGTAGACGATGCAATGTGTGAGGGGCGCACACTAATAATACTAACATTTTTAAATGAAAACGGCGTACAAACAATTTTAACTACGTCTAAGCGTCATGTATATTGGCGTTTGGTGAAATGACTATTTTCTATAGTAATTTATATTATGACTGCGCCCGTGAGAAAATTTTACTAATGTTTACAACTAATACCCGTTTTACCATCCAATTTAGCCATTATGCCGGATAATATAGTTGATGTTAGCAGGGAAGTCCTAAATTTTTTAAATGACTTAATCACTAAAAAAAATAAAAATAAAAATAAAAATAAAATAAAAATAAAACTCTTAGTATTTAAGTGAATTTTCTATTTTTTGAATTCTTTTGTACACAAGTAAAAAAAAAAAAAATTTTTTTTAAATTTTTAATGAATGCATTTAAAGAATTTAAAGAATTTAAAGTATATAGTAAAATAAGCATTTTTCCTGTAATAAAGTTTTTATTGGTTATCCCAAAAAAAAAAAAATGTTTCGGTATCAAGCTTACCCTTAACGTCATTCGCGTTTTCTGATCCTTAACCAATAAGTTCGTTGTTATTTGTTTCACCATCAAATAAATAATAATAATAATAATCAAAAATTGAAGTGCTTGACAAACGATAAACGATAAAAATCGTCTTATTTTAATTTCCGCGGACTTTAATTTAATTCATATATCATTTTCTCGGAGTTCCGTCGGACAGTATCAGTAATATTCGGATTACGTATGATACCTGATACGTACGTACGTAAGTACCTTCATGCGTACAATACCATCAGGATAACCGAAAGGGTATGATTTACTGTAAAGCATCTCATGACACATCTGCAGTGTGCATTATATAAATTATTATAGTATATATATAAAATTATAAATAAAATTTATGCAGTTGGTCTAGATTCTACCCGGTGAATTAGAATATAGGGGTAGTTACCCGTGGGTATAATATGCCCAGCCAATCTCAATTTCGGAATCATGCGTAACTATTCGGCGTTACTTTCATATAAATTAATCTGCCCATTGGGTTCAATGGGAGTTTCCTTGTTGCCCAATATTCTTCCCAGCTTTTTCACAATCTTATACGATAGATAACTAAAAAAAAAAAACTGATTATTATTATAAAAAATTTTTATTGATAAAAAAATTTTGTCTTGAAGTTGGTTCCCAACGTTATATCCAAACTCATATCCCTCTAATATGCCGGTGTGTACGTCTTGTCATCAAACTAAGCCTGACGAAGCCTTCTTTCATAAAAATAAAAAATGGAAAACTTGTCAGAGTTGTATAGAGCAAAGAGCTCTTAAAAAACAAAAAACAAAGAGAAAACGCGATGACGAAGTAGTGGAAGAAGAGCCCACGCGTGTTTCCCTTAGAACTGTTGGTCTAATGGAGTTGTCTAACCTTGTCGCTTCTGAAATGCGTGCAATACTTCATAATCCTCAACCTATCGGTCCTGACGGTACTCCGCAATGTGCCTTAAACCTACGCGTGGCTTTAAACCTTACGAATATGATAAATGGTAGCGAACATCCTAAAGAGGTTGCTAGATGGATCGTAGAAGAAATAGAGAGAGCTGATGAATATAATTGGACGTAAGAATTTTTTTTTTTTTATATTCATATTATTAAACTTTATATATATATATATATATATACCTTTTTTTATAAAAATATTTATAATATTCTATATTTTATTAGGTATAATTGTATGAATACTTCGATGCGTCATAAAGATGTTGCAAAATTCTATTATGTTTGCAGTCAATCTGTAGTTGCAATGAAAGAGTATAAAGAAGGTTCTAATAGAAAACGAATGGAACGTTTTCCATGTCAAGGGAAGATGCAAATGAAAATCGATATGCCAGCCGCTGAAGCTATGCTTGAAATTCATCATGGCATGCTTCATAATAGACCTGTGATTACTTCAGAAATTAGTGAAGAATGTAGAAAAGAGATTGAAGAAAACGTTCATTTAAATCCTATTCAATTACGTCAATTGCTTAGAGCAAAAAATGTAATGAAAAATTATACCCCAAAACAAATTCATACTTATTGGGAAAGAACTGCCAATATTAAATGTCCAGAATTAGTCCCTCAATATTCTGTTGCCCCTGTTGTCCCGGTTGTTCCTATGTTACCAACAGCTGTTGAGGGTACTTATACAATGATACCGACGATGCCATATCCTCCTCCTATACAACCTCCTCCTCTACCTATGCCGTTGGTCACAAATACTCCTCCTCCCACTTCACAAAAAAGTACTACCGAAAAAATTTCAAAAGTCGGTAATCATACTTTTAATCATGATGAATTTGCTGAATATGCAGCAAAGATGGAACAATTTGCAAAGAGAATCCGAAATCAATTGGATCGCCGGAATTATCACTGGTTAGATACCGTGAAAATCTTGACCGCTGGAGTAATCGAAATGGAAAATGATATTGAAGAATTGGAAAGGCAACGTGCTAGCGAAAGAGCTACTAAACCATGGACAATTCATTATAAATAATTCTTTATTATCACGCGGTCATAGTCACATATGTATGATATGTTATAGCTTGATTCACCTAACAACAACATTATATATGGCTTATACGAGAATGAGTAATTTTGTACATCTTTTATTATTATATTTTGTTAGTTCTCTCTTTTCTCCTCGTATTTGATATTATTTAAAAGATTATGCCAAATTATACTACACGTGGATTTGAGTTCAAGGGCTGATATTTTATTTTGAATAAGATTTTTTATTTTCTCAACATACAAATTAAATTCTTTTTTTTTTTTTTTTCTTTGATACTTAAATTGTGAGAAGAAATTTCTTCTTCCCTCCTTTCATTTTGGGCGTGTTAATGATCGTCCGTGTCTCTTTTAAAGTTGTGGAATTTGACTAGAGAATTTTCTCTACTTTGGTATAATATATCATAATATATTAAAGCAAAAGTATGAACCTACATCGCGGGAAATTTCCTGCTAGGTCTTTGAAAAATTACGAAAAATGTGGATTCGGATGATCTCAATTTTATTATAATATCAGTATATATTACCAATATATATATATATATCTAAATTTGCTCAATTTTTTTGCTAGATAAAACAATGCTTCATTAATTTAAATAATGTCTCATTAATTTAAAGGAATGTATATACAATTAGAAAATTTACCGAATTAAAAAAAAAAAAAAAAAAAAAAAAAAAAAAATAGCCTGCTTAAGAATTTTAAATTAAATTTAAATCGAAGCACTTGATTCCGGATATTATGACGCGTTATCATCGATTTTTTACACAATAAACGTTTTGCCATTATTTTCGAATCTGATTTTGTTGCATTAAATATTAAGTTTTTTCGCTCTTTTTCTAGCATTGGATCTTATTGTTCTTTTAATGCCTGCAATTTTTGTCTTTGTTATAATTCATTTCAATCAATTTCTTTGGTTTTTGTAGTTACACATTTCATAATTTGTAAACGTGGACATTGTCTGACAGTCATGCAAATAGATGTGGTTGGTTGCACTGTTTGATCTGCTTTATATATCTTTATATAAAAATTCCAGTAAACTTTCGATTCCAGTTATATGTATATATATATATATAAAAGCCCCCCAAATTATTATTATTTTTGATTTTTTTTTTTTTCAATTTTTTATTTACTGCATTTTATCATATTACGTTAGTTCACCCAAAGAATTTTTATAGATATTTTGTGAATCAACAATATACATATAGAACTTGCTTTCTTTTTTGTCCTAAAAGTTTTAAAAAGAAAAATGGGTAGGTCTACTTTTAATCTTTTGAAGGCTGAATCTTTAGGATCAAGCTCATCAGCAAAGTTAACATCAGCATTTTACCCTGTTGGCTTGAATAGGTGGATATTTTAGTAGTTTGTTGGCACGATTGTGGGGTGAAAAGGAGGTACGAATACTCATTTTAGGCTTGGACGGAGCTGGTAAAACAACAATATTATATCGATTACAGGTATTATTTTTATTCAATTCATTTAGTCAATTTAAATTTTCTAATTATCTTGATCAGAGTGCTCGGATAAATATTTTCAATAGTAGTTATTTATTATCAAAAAATATTTTTTACTACAAACTTATTGATATCGTTTTCCTTCTTTTCATCCAGATCGGGGAGGTAGTAACAACTATTCCAAGTAAGTTTATAACCAAATCGCGTGTTCATTCAATTTTTTATGAATTCTTTCATTAATAACTAATTTGAGTATAATTATAATTTTAAATTTGATAATTATATTTCAAACTTAAATTATTATATATTTTAAAATTTAATAATTACTATTTAAATTTAATATTTGTATTTAAATTTGACTTCATTTATTTATAGCTATTGGGTTCAATGTTGAAACTGTAACATATAAAAATATTAAATTTCAAGGTGAATTGATAGATTAATACATACTTTTTGTAGTTTTTATAAATTTCATTATGCTAAATCGATGTTTATTGTATTTATAGTATGGGATTTAGGAGGTGAGAATCATTACTCATGGGTCATATGTATGAAATTTTATTAAATTGGCTGTTTTGACCCTTTATTTATACACAAACCACATCTAATGAATTCAGGTCAAACAAGTATAAGGTATAAATATTATATTTTTATTGGTGTCTATTTCAATTCATATATGTATTAATATTGCCTTTATTCTTCAAGACCTTATTGGCGTTGTTATTATGCAAATACCGATGCAGTTATATATGTAGTAGATTCTATAGACCGTGATCGTTTGAGTACCTCAAGAGAGGAACTTCATGCTATGCTTGATGAAGAGGAATTACGAGAAGCTGCGCTATTGGTCTTTGCTAATAAACAAGATATGGTTGGTGCATTGACTTCAGCTGAAGTATCTGATGCTTTAGGGTTGAGTACATTGAAAAATCGACAATGGAGTATTTATAAAACAAGTGCTGTAAAAGGAGATGGCCTAACGGAGGGACTGGATTGGTAATTATCATCTTTCAATGCATTCTCACCTTTTTTTATTAATATTTATTAATTATTTATATTTTTGTTATTTACTTTAGGTTGGTAAACATTATTCAAGGGAACAAAAATTGAGCAATTTATCATATAAAATACTATAATACTATACAATACTACATGAATTTTTTTTCAAATAAGAACTTTATTTTTCATGACCTAATTCATTTTAATAGTCTACATTGGATATTGTACAAAAAAAAAAAAAATTTTTTTTTATTTAAACTAGTTTTCATGTGTCTTTTTTTTATTTTTTTTTTATTTTTACATCGGTTTGTGTGTTTGATTTTTTGATTTAAAGGAAAAGGCAAAAGTTAATAATTGATTTTGTAATTAAGTTTAAGCAATCACCTTTGTTGTCATTTATAATACTTAATTATTATATATTATTAATACTTTTTTTTCTCTTTTTTTTTTTTTTTTTTTTGTGCCAGGGTGAGGGGAAAATTATATTATTTGTAAAGTATTAAAGACGGTAATAATAATACAGTAACATAGATTTCATAAAATGCAGAAAGATTTCTTTTTTTTTTGGAAAAAATATGTTTAAATAAACGGTAATAAATTTACCAATATAAGTAGTAATTCGGGGCACAGGCCGGCTCTACGTAGTATGTGTGTTCTCGTGTAACATAGAGCCCAATATAAATATTAGAAAATTTGTTTCGTAATGATAACCTTTTTTTCTTTTCTTATAATTATACTATTGAAAACGAGATATTTATTATCGAAATGAGTTATGGAGAGGTTTACCAGTATCATCCAGAAAAAATTCATACCTCAATAGGTCATGAACGTCGTGATTCAGAAAATGATGGATCTTTCAGGCCAAGCTTTTTTCAAAAGTATGTACTTTATAACAAATATTTTTTTCATGTGTTGACTTAAATAGTTTAGTCTCAAAAGTTTCATCTTTATTAAATTAATAAATTTATAGGTTTAATCCACGATTAGTAAAGCAAAAAATTCAAATTATTCTTAAAGAAAGATTAGAAAAAGCAATTTACGATAAAGATCAAGCTCCCGGGTGGGCTAATGAAATAGCAGAAGCTGTTAAAGCAAAATTATTAGGTTGCTATTTTATTTATTTTCATACTTACATTAATTACCACGTTACAAGAACCTAATTACAAATTTTTTAATTTATATCATAAATAGGTTTAGATCTTAATAGATATAAATATGTTGTCAATGTTACTATACTAGAAAATAAAGGAGTTGGAGCTAGGTAATCAAAAAAAGAATTATTATACAATATACATATTTATCTTTAATTTATTAATCAATTTATTGTGACATAACATTTGTTTTTTTAGAATGCAAATTAATGGTTTATGGGATCATAATACTGATAGTTACGCCCAAGAAATCTTTAAAAATGTATGTGATCTATTTTATTTTATATGAGTGTCGCCAAGGAAAACTTGTCATCAAGGCTTTCAATTATATTTTGTACCGGATACAACCTACTTAATTTATTAGGGAATATGTCCGGTACTAAATGGTTTTCCTTTGACAACACTCGTATGAGCTATTTACTAAATTCTTTTTTTATTAGCTTCTTTGATTATCACTAATTATCAAAGAAGCATAATAAAACATATATATATTTAATGGTCAACTTATATACCCGGCTATCATTATTTAACTCTAATTAACTCGATATTTCATAATTAGGAGACGATTATCTGTATAGTTATGGCTTTCGGTGTATACTTTTATTAGTTTATAATAATTATTAAACTTTTAAGATAGCAAAAAAAAAAACTTATCTATTTATTGTTTGTTTGCAATCTACAACTTTATTTATTATTAATATGTTGTTATTTTTTTACAAAAGATAATATGTATAATAATATATACTATATTAATATATTTTTTAATTTTTTAATGATTTAAATAAAATTAAATTTGTTATATATTTTTATATATATAGTATGAATTTTTTTTTAATATAGTTACAAGAAACAAAATATTAATTTTAATATTTTTTAAAAAATATTACTAATTATAACTGGTGATAATTATTACTAAAGTACTATATTTTAAAACCTATTAGCTAATTTATAACAGAAATACTAATAAAAATATTTAAAAATTTAATTTTAACTAAAATTTGAACTATTATATTTAACTTTTTTATATATTTTAACTGTATTTCAACTTAAAAATAAAAGATAATAATAATTATTACTAGTTATTTGTAGTAAAAATATTTTTATAAAGAGAGGTGTGGTGACTTAGTGTAGTGGTCTAGTTGTCACTCTTTCCAAGTGGCAGGTCTAGAGTTCAAATCTCACTGGTGATGATATTTGAAAAATAGGTCTGTGTTCAGTTGACGGCTATGCTTATCGATTGGATCTAGAATTAAATCTGTAACTTTGGTCACACCATCTTGTAATGGGAGCTTTGGTGCAATAAACCCGAGGAACCAGCATAACTTAAAACCTATTTGGGAAGTCCCGAATCTGGATATAACAGTGATATTTGACAGTACCACAGGAGGGCTGAATTTGAACCGGGGTCTGAGATCAGAAAACCGAGCGACCAGGTCCTATGGCGGAGGACACACTAGCTGAACCGCCAAGTTGTCATACTAGAGAAAAAGGGCATATGCTCCAAAAGTATGAACCAAAAGGAAAGCATCCTTCAGGCACCTAAAGTCTGGACAGACCAACTCTTCCGAGTTGCCGGCTAGAAGTAAGGGAGGGACCGATAGAGAATCCGGGTAAAGAGACAGTTCCAAGTGTGGGTACTGGGGTTGTTGTGAACTGTTAAGGGCAATGAGTATATAATGGAAAACTAATTAAGAAGGTTGTGGCTTGAGATACAGATCGGGTCATGGTAGTACTCTAAAAATTAGTTTGAGATACGGACTCGGTGTCGGCAGCACAACAAGTATTACAGTTGGGCACATTGCCAAAAATGGAAAATCCATTCTAGAATAATCCATAAAATTTGATTGGTCTATGCTAACCTTATCGGGCTCTTTTTTAGCCGAAAATTGTAGCTTTTCGTAATAGTCAATTGCGGTATATAATCGTTCAAACTAAGAGTAAAGAACCTCTAGTTTTGTAATCTTTTTGTGATCAGCACTCTATAAAAAAACAGTACAAGGCCTAAAATTTAAAAAAACTCTTTTTTTATATTAATTTATAGCTTTTTTTCACATAACAGCCCATTAGAATCACCAGAATTCAAGATGTCGCGGGCTCAACAAAAATCAAAACCTGAGGACCTTCCTTGTATATTTTCTACAATAGCTAGTAAATACAAGGATTTCAGTTTAAGTCTCTGTGATACAAGAAGATCACAGATGTGGCGAAATGCTAATGGTCCAAAGGCAGCTGAGCGGCTTGCATTATATCATAATTTTATACCAGAACTTGTTGATCTTTCTTTGAATTCTTATTCTGTTTGTCAAACACATTATAACGAGGTTATAACACATGATGTTTTTTATCGAAATCTTTTAGGTAATTCGAATTTAGATCGCACAGATCACGAAAATAAGAGAACTCGAATTGATGCTAGTTCTACCTCTGAAAAGATAACCGCCGAGGAAGTTGAATATATGTTACATCTTACTAATGCAATTACTGAATTGCAGCAGCAAGTAGAAGATCAAAATCTAGAGATATTAGAATTGAGAAAGCGAATAAATGGCTATTGTGAAGAGATTATTCGTTTAAGGGAATCATATCAAGAAAAGTGTAAAGAAAATATAGATCTTACTGAACAATGGAACTCTCGGCATTGTAATCAGTATAAGCGTATGCAAGAAGCTGTTAATATTGCATTGCTTGAGCGTGATTCTTTATATAAAGATATTAATTTTCTTATAAGAGATAACAATAGGTTTTCTTTAGAAAACCTATTAAGTTATGCACCACAAACATGGCTAAGTAAACGTAACCAAGTTATTGTAAAATTCATTGAAACACTAATCTATAATAATTCTAATATAGATTCTTTAAGTGCTGAGAAGATTTTCAAAAGGGCAATGGCTGTTGATTTAATTTATGGATCCAGGCATGGAAAATACGTGTCGGAAATAAATCTTGCAGCGTCGGCTATAAAATATTCTATTGCGAGATCTAAAACTATTGTTGATATTGACAATCATATCTCGTGTTCAGGAAGTTATTCTCATTTCCAAGGATGGTTGGATAAATTGTCAGAAAAAGAAAAAGCATTACTTCAAGGGCTTTTATTTATGGCATTTGATAACGAACAAAAAGGGCAGAGAAACTACCTTGATCGAGAATCAAACACAGTAACATATAACACCGTTACTAGTTTTGTTGCTTTTAACATGGAATCAGAAAATTTTATTCAATATACTAATGAGCCTTGGTTATCTAATTTTGATATTAGGCTTCAATACGAGAATCTTCTTACAATTACGCCTGAAATGCAAGAAGCAATAAATGAAGAATTACATAATTATCTTTCTGAAATTTTAAGCTTGTTACTCGAAGAGAAGTTGTCTACTACTAATAATATCGATATTCTAGCTTCTAATATAGGATCGAATGACCGTTGTAACAAACGATGTCTTAACTGTGGTAAACAAAATAACGATAATAGAAAGCAAGTTTGTCCAAGATGTTCCACTCGCCTACCTAAGTTATCTGAACTGCAACTAGAACAAGCCCCTGAGTTAGAAAAAGATGTTACTAATTCTCCAATTATCTTTAAACCATATAGTATTGCGAAATCTAAATCGTCTACTATACCAAGAATAAGTGTTACTCAAAAATGATCACCCAATATAGGAGTTAAAATTCCAGAAATTTTTATTCCTGATCTTTTTAACATTAACCCTAACTCAATCACTAATGTTGAAGAAGTTCTTCATTATATAGAGAAAATTTCAGAAATCAAAGACGGAATATGTAAATGGGTAGTTGTTATATATGATGGTGTCCCATATCACTATGTAACTAAAATTAAGCATAAATTTCC